CAGAATTCACTACACAGGGAAAAATACAAACTCTCAATATGAATTGTCGAATCTTTCAGAACGGTCCAAAACTCGACGCCCGGTCATCACATTGTTTCTTCTGCCCAGGTTGACCAACTAGCTCTGCGCTGCGCCCGAATTCTGCTTAGCTTATCTTTCCAAAGAGCTCCACTTGTCCTAAAGTGCTTGTGGCGTCCAAAACCCAGATAGCGACGCCGTCCCCTTGCGAAGTCCACTTGTCAAGCCCACTTCTGTAATCTAAAACCCGGACAGCAGGGCGCCGAGGTAGAAAGCATGCCTGGAAAGCTGGCAAGCGTGGAAAACGCTTCAATCCAAAACCCGGATAGCAGGGCGCTCGGAGGGCGTGGAAAGGCCTAGCGAAGCACGCTGCAAGGACATGGAGAGGGCCCCCGAAGGACCTTCTGGAGATCTTCAAAGCACGCGCATTGGGAAACGCTACAGAAAAGCCTCTGGGAACACGCTGCAAGTTCAAGCAGCCCGCGCCCCGGATTCTGGACCGACGCCGGAAAGATCACCAGGGCTACCCTGCGGCTCCGGCTTCTAAAGCTGTAAAACTTCTTAGCTCTCCAAGGAGCTATCTGGGAACATCTACAATCCAAAACCCGGATTACGACGCGATACGAATCGCGAAAGAACGCCGACTTGTGCAATTCAAAACCAGATAGCGTCTGCGCTTCAAACGCTGATGGGGGCGCTGGCGGGAGCGCTACAAAGCCTGTCTGGGAGGCTGGCACGCTTGAAAACGATTCTGGAAGACGCGTGCCAGAGCGCTGGGAAGCATGCCTCGGATGCTTGCAAGCTCTAGAAGCGAGCTCCCAAGGAGCGTCGAGAGAGCTTCGGAAGACATTATGGAGAGCTTCGGGGCACGCGCGTTGGGAACGAGTAGGAAAACGATTATCGGGGCCCGCTGCTAGTTCAAGCAGGGCACCGCGAGGGTGCCTGACAAGGAGCCACATGTAGCTGCTCGTAATCTCGACATCAAGCCTAGAACCAAATTCGTACCAGTGGAAATATCAGAGTTCGAATCGTTGCTCGGTCAGAGCTTTCTGAGCAAATCGATCCCAGCCTCCCGAAATCTCAGAAACGATGCCGTCTGTGCTGCTGAATCAATTAGTCTTAATAAAAAATCTGAAAGTGCTCCGACGCTCGAGATCAGGACCAAACCAAATATTTCAAATATCAGCCGAAACCACATGCAGAGCGCGGATAGTTGTTCAGCCATAGCTCGAGCAGCAGAACGATCTCAGGCTTGCCAAGGCTCTAAACTACTGCCTTCGATGCTACTAGATCAATTCATATGAATGCAACCGCTGTGGCTGCTCTGAATCTCGAGTTTTAGTTCATCAACCGAACGCACGCACAAAATATGGTCTCAGGGCGAGTACCCCCCATAGTAGATTCCAGCAGCGTCCAGCAGCGAGCCCCAGCAGCACACCGCCCCCCGAGCGGGCGCGCGCCCCGACCACACCTCCAACCAGGCTGAGAGCCCAAGACCCGCCAAGGAAATGCGCCTGACGCACCACGACTCACTCCCGCCAACTCCGCGCGGCGACGAGCCGGCCCCGGCCCCTCCCGCCACGCGATCCACGGCCACCAAGTCCGTTGTGGCACCACCAGCCGTCGTCAGCACTACTCCTGACCCCCTCCCCGAGAGCGAGGGGCCCAGCCGCCTCGAACGGCAGCAAGGACGGGCCGCAGACACACCCATCCAGGGCTCCTTCTGCCCGGTCGCAACGGACAGCCCGCGCATCCAGGGCGGCGACTACGCGGCCATCAGGAGCGACACCATTCCCCGTGCCAGTTGGTTCAGTTCAGCGGACAGCACCGAGCCCCTGTCCACGCAACCCCTGGACGGGGCGGTATTCGGACCCGTCCTGAACGTCTTGGCCAGCGAACAGGACGGGCGGGCCCTGATCGTCCACATCGACGACGAGTGGCTGGAAGTCTGGGGCGCCGGCACCAAGACGCCACGCGTGAACGTCCTCCGCGGCGACGCGGCGCTCCAAGCACCCGCCTTCCTGGGCAGCACCTCCGACGAGGCACACGGAGCGCAGGCGCCAGCGGCCCCCGCCAGCTCCTGGCTCGGCGCCGACATCGGGGACGCCGACGCGACGCCCCCAGAAGGGCGCCAGCCCGACTCCAAGCCTGAACCTTGCGCGCCGCGTAAGACACACAAGACCCCACCTACGAGCCGGCACCCCCCGTGCACCCTAAGGAAAAGGACCCTGACTGGACCAACGACGACCAGGAACACGAGAGGAAGCAGAGGCTCGCGGAGGCCTTATGCATGGTCCATACGGTCTCCCCATCCTCAGACCCCGAAACAGTCGAGGAGGGCCAAGCCAAGTTGAGCCCTC